TATCCATCTAGCAATTATCCAAAACGCTTCTTCTATGTATGAGGGGATGCTCTCGGACCCATCGGAGAATCATTTCCACCAGCCCATTTAACTTTGGTTTAATTTGTATTAAATGTTGTGATGTTTGATTTTGTAGGTGTGCAGAAGCCAGAGTCTCACTCCTCCATCTATAGCCTCATGATCATCCAGAGCTCCAGAGAGACTCACATCCTCCTCATCAGTGACACAGAGGAAGATCCAGTCAAGCTTTACTAAATGCTGCTCGATTCTGCAAACACAAAGTCATTGTCTAATTGTGAACAAACATCATAAATGAAATCAAATTAACATCTACTTCAGCTATAGACACAGTATAAAATATAGTTTTAGTTTTAGTTTACATTATGAGTTGAGTTTACATTATGCCATTGAGTTCAACAACACAACATTTTATCTGACTTAACACATTAGTTGAAAGCTGATCTGGATCATTTAACAAACTACTAGATCCAAGTTTCTCTGCTGGTCAAGAGCATGACAAAATATAGATTTGCTGTAAAATATTCTAAATTTAAATCTCGGTTCTCACCTATGATTTGCCATCTCTGGTTTGTAGTTTCAGTTAATAATGCAGATCATGTTATTGACCACAAGAGGGAGCTAATGATCAGCTGTTTGTCACCGGCCTTGTACACATTGAACCAAATAAAAAAAGAGGCTTTTGCTTTTTCTTCAGTAGGAAAGGAAAAAGAGCGCCTTTTTTTCTAACATGGACAATGACCCAATCTCTGAAGCAACTTTGAGTCCGTTGGCAATAAAATATGACTTAGTTAAGGTAAGAACAGAAGTGCAGTTTTTCATCCGCTCCACCAGGCGGGCTTTAGTTTAGTTTGACAGCTTCGGATGCTTGGTGACAGTCGTAACAACACGTGCAGACTGATTTAAGTATAAATTGTGCAGATGACAGCTCAGTTACTGACTTATATAGTCACTTAACAGCACACATTTCAGCCCATAAACAAACCAAACTGACAAACGCTGTGATAAAGCGCAGGAATGGAAGATGTCACGGAACTCACCTGTAAGTCTCCTTCTCTTCCAGCGTATCTACCTGTTTTTTTACAGTCTATGGTATTTACCTTATTAAATCACCACCACACGCCTGGCAGTACTTAATTATTGTATTTAAGTAATTTAAATGTTTGTTAATGTATAGTTCCTATTCAGAGCTCCTCTGTCAGGTAATTCAGACATTTGTCAGTGTGTGCTGGTTTGCTTGTAAATGTGTAGGTTACTTACTTACTAACATTTTCTTTTTGAAAGAGCACTCCTTGCAAATTATGGTATTGGTAACCTAAGTAGGTGGGGAAGGAAGGGGGATGACTATTTCTGTCCAAAAGTATAATTCATACAGGATATACTATAAAGAGTTATTAACAGTAACCAGTGGTGGAGCAAAAAGGCCAAATATATTTGTCAATCATTATTTTGCAATGCAGAATAAGCTATTTTCTTTGAATGTGCACAAAAATTGGATTCATTGGCCGCTGTAAATAATAAGTGCAGTAAATGAGTAAACTATGTGCTACAAACCAATGTGTTTATAATTACAGTCATTTACATTTCGACAGAACCATTCTGTTCAGACATATTCACCTCATTTTGCAGTATAGAAGTAAACTATTGTCTGTGAATGTGCAGTTCATTAGCCGCTATAGGTAAATAACTATAAGCGTAAAGTGCAGTAAATTGTCAAACTATTTGCACTACAAACCAGTGTGTTTATAATTATGACAATACATTCAGGGCTTGACATTAACTTTTTTGCTC